ACTTGCTTTAAAATTAAAACTTCTTAAATTTTTTATACAGTTTAAACCATAAAATTAAGCGATCATATTTTAATAAAAGAATTAATAATTCACATTTGAAACCCATAAATCAATACCAGGAAGAGGTCTTGATAAACCACCACCAATTTTAGTTTTAAAGGTATAACCTTCAACCAATCTAAACTCAAAATTTCTAATAATCACAGATAAAAGACATTTAAATTCCAAATAAGCCATTTTCATACCTAAACAACTTTTTGGGCCAGCACCAAAAGGTAAGAAATTAGTATGTGTTATTTTTGATTTCACTTCAGGATCAAGCCACCGAGATGGGTTAAAATCTTCAGCATCATCTCCCCAAATTAAGGGATCATGATGAATTGCGTAGATAGGAATCCATAATGGAGTATCCTAAAGAAAAAGCTTTAAAGTTATATACTGTATTATCAAATAAAATGAATCATGAGATGTTTTGGGAAAAAATACCTTTGTAACAAGGTAACCATTCATTATTTCATCTTTTGAGGTATAACGAAGGACTGCAGACGCTTTAATTAATAAAATAAAAAAGATGAGAATAAAATAAAGTTAAATAAATAAAATATAAAAGATATTAAAACTATACCAGGTGGAATAAGCCTTATAGCTTCTTTAAAGACACATTCTAAGTATTTCAAATGTTCAATCTCATCAACAGTCGGATAATAATTACGATCAGTTAATACATCAGACACTTCTTTACGAAGACGATCCTGAGTATCAGGATCTTTTGCGAGGAAGTATAATGTCAAAGATAGTGCATTACTAGTGGTCTCATGTCCAGCAATAATTATTGTCATAACCTACAATTTAATAAATTTATATTTTATATATTTTATATATTTTAAATAACATACATATTTTAAATAAAAATTTAACAAAATTATATATAACAAATTATTACCTGACTAATTAACTCTTTATGAGTTAATTGATCATTAACTGGCAAGCTATCATTTGCCTTTGTTATTAAGGACAATAAATCTGTTCCTTGAACAGGACTATTTTTTTGTTCAGCAAATATTTTCTCGGAAATATTAGCGATGATTTTAATAGATTTAAAATATTGTTTATTATAAGAGGTTGGTAATTTTCTTATAAACGGAAAGAACCTAATAAGAGAAAGGTATAAAGGTGAATAATTTTGACCAATTATTGATGTGTATGCTTGAGATAATTCAGATCCTGAAGTAGTAGAATTGAATTCGTAATTGAACCCTATTTACATTAAAATAATGTAATTGTAATTAGAAGCGTCATTTATACGTAAAATTTAACATGTAAAACGACAATGCTTACCAACGAGACCAATAATATCTAAAGTTATCTTTGGAATTAATTCTGTAATTGTAATTCTTTCTTCTACCTTATTACCAATTTGTTTTATCCAGATATCTTTTAACTTATGGCCAGCTTGAACGAATGTTGGTGCCATTTCCTTAAAATTTGAAATGTTAAAATAATGATCAGATATAATCATATAAAATAGATTTTGTATTACTGATAATCGTAAAAGAATACCTTAACATTAGCAAAAGCAAATGAAGGGGTCATCACTTTTCTTTGTCGTTTATGAGAATTTCCTTCAGCAATTACAATACCTTCTCCGAAAATTTCCTTAACAATAGTTTTGCTCATGTGAAACTTTGGATAATCATAAGATAACAGTACTTGTTGAATAAGCTTTTGATCGGAAATTAATAGATTCGGTTCATTTAATAAGCTATGAAACCTAACAATCCCACCATATTGTTTTACTAAGTGAACAAAAGCTTCACCTAGCTGTTTATTTAAAAAAGGAGGAGAAGCATGATTTCCAAGAATAAAATTATCAACTGGTGGACCAGGAATTTTACGCAATGGTGACAAATATAAAGGATAAATATAAAACTTGTATAAGACGTAAGCAATAATTGCAACAATTGTAGCTAAATAGAAATACATTTTTAGAGATATCAAAAGAAGTTGTTAAAAGAAATGAATATAGTGTAATATTTTTTTATTTTCATGAGAATCTTTTTCTCCATTTTATATTAAAATTTTGAAATATTATCTGTTATACCACCAATATCAATACGGATTGATTGTACCTCCGTACTGGTGATGGGCGGGAATAATTCGGAATTTCCGGTGTCACAAAGTATATTTTTATAAAAAAAACTTATACGTATAAAATGTTATATAAATTCTTATATAAATTTATATGTTACTTGATACGTATAACATTTATATATAATTATTTAATATAAGTTTTTTATCGCCATAGCGATGTATCGCTACTCCCCTGATAAATTAGTTGTCGCGCGTGGTGTCGGGATTTCAATATTCAAACTCAGCTTATGATTAGTAATCTAAATTACCTATAGATTAGTAATCATAAGCTGAGTTTGAATATTGAAACCCCGACATCACACGACGCGACAGTTGGGGACGCCCACAGCAAAAGCAGGGAATAGGACTGTATAATATGGGTGCCGCCAAGTGAAAACCAGGAATTTGAAAAATAGATTTATTTAGACAACGGAATGCGGGCCTTTAAC